GAATGTCCTAAAAACAAATAAAATCTGTGACTTATTTATTTAAAATAATTGTCATCCGAATTTCAATTCGTTTAATACTTAAAAACTGCATGAAAAATTTCCTAACCAGAAGGCAAATCTCTGATTTGTTTATTTATTTAATCATTACCTTTCGAGTTTTAATTGTTTTTTTTTATTAAAGTAGCATGCGCAATGCCTAAATTGGACAAAAAATCCCTCATTTGTATGCTTATTTAATTCATTGCTTACCTTCCAAATTTAAGCTCGTTTAATGTAAATACCAAAAAAAGAAAAATTCCCCAAAAAGAGGAGAAATCCTAGGTCCCGAATTGTTTTGTTTATTTTATTCGTTGCTTTTCAAATTTTAATTCGTGTTTTAATTAAAACAGTATACAGAGTGTTCTAACAAGAGGAGAAATATATGATTTATTTGTTTATTTAATTCATTGCCTTCCAAAATTATTCGTGTTTTAACTAAAACAGCGTTAGAATGTTCTAACTTGAGAAGAAATCTTTAACTGTTTCCAAAAGTGCTTCAGAATTTCAGTTCATTTATTGTAAAAACAATATGGAAACTGTAGCAAAAAGAGGAGAAATCCTGATTTAAAATCATTAATTTATTTGCTTATTTAATACATCGCCTTTCAAATTTTAATTCGTGTTTTAATTGAAACAACATACAGAAAACCCTAATTAGAGGAGAAATATCTAATTGCTTCAGAACTTTAGTTCGATTATTTTAAAAAGCAATATAGAAACTGACCCAAATTAAGGAGAAATCCTGGTCGGAAATCCCTAATTTATTTGTTTATTTAATTCATTGTCTTCTAATTTTCATTTTGTGTATTATTGAAAACCAGCAAGCAGAATATTCGAGCAAGAGAATAAATCCCTGCTTCATTTCTTTATTATTTAAACTATTGCTTCGCTAATTCCAGTTCACAAAAGGGAAAATTTCTATTTTTTATTTTTTTTACTTATTTTTTTTCTTCAATTTTTTGTTTTGTTTACTGTACATATTGTTTTCTAAATTTCCTTTCGTTTATAATCGAAAAACAATTTAAAGAATATCTCAAAAAGATGGGAATATTCCTTATTTATTTGTTTATTTAATTGTACACTTTATAAATTCCAACAAAAAACAAAGAATTTATAAATTATATACTTTATAAATTCCAATAAATTCTGTAAAAAAAAAAAATTGCCACAGAATATTTTAAAAAGGGGAGAAAAATCAAGTTTCAACAGCAATAAAACTTTTATGTAATCATACAGTAGACAAAGCATTACACCATTTGATAAACACATTCTACGGCTCTTCTGGCACATTTGCATTCTTTTAATGGGATAATTAGAATATAGCATAAATGTGGCTATATCAGTGTGATACATTGTCTAACATTCTCCAGAAAGGATTAAATATATTCTTTAAGGCTTAAATTAAAGAGCCTAGTGCAATGACTAACCTCATTTTCAAATTGCTCTGGAGAGCAGATTGAAAGAACTGCTTTGGTTAAAAGTTTCAAGAAAATAAAAGTTAATATAAGATAAGATAGCGATTTAGAGGGCTAATTCAGTATGTCACCCATACGTTATCCAAATGGGAGATTTTAAGAAAAGAGGACTGAAGATTCTAATTCTGTATTCAATCCGAATTCGGTGCTAACAGCTTTTCGATTACCATGCATAATTGCCCTCTTTCTATACTTTTTGTTTCTCTATGCTATTCGATGTTAAATTTAAAGAAAATATATACATTATTTTTACGCATTTATTTATTCATTATACGAAGTTTGAATTTTCCATTCTTGTTGGAGCACTCTGTAGATTTAATCTCAGTAAAATATCTCAAACAATTTTTTGCTTTAGTTTTAGTTGGAAAAAATAAATAAATAAGTAATCCTGAATATTGCCATGAAGCGATGATTGAGTTCAGTAGGACGACTCTCATATCCAGCAAAAATCTTGGAATTTAACGACTTCAAGAAAAATTTGACCTCTAGAACGCCTGCTGTTATGTTTATTCCTTACCGAAGATTGCTCTCATGGGAAATAAAGTTGAAAAAATTATTTATTGCCATTTACTACTTACAATCCAAAAATGCCAGCGATAAATTTTATTTAAATCTGTTTTTACGTCTGGATAAACAACATGTGTGGTCTATGTTTAATTTAATTTTTCAACAACAGGGTCGTAAGAAAATCTATAAGACATTAACCGATTTTTCGAATGGTGAAAAAAGGCAAAATAGATAAATATATATTTAGTATATTGTTGTGTTGCCGCCTATATCGTTTTAAATTGCCTACCCTGCCCTCGCCAGTTGGTGAACTATTTTTAAACCTTTTGTTCGCTTCATAATCCAATACGCTCATTGGATACTTATCCAATATATATATATTGGATACTTACAGCGCTATTAGTATGAGTCTATGTCTAGACTCGTACTAATAGTGGTACTTAAAAAAATAAACCTATTAAAATATGCTTTAAATACATCCTGTGTAACATTTAATTTCATATATTTTATGCGAAATAATACCTTTTGTTACCGGTTATATCGTTTTAAATTGCTATAAAGGAGGTTTCTGCTCTGCCCTCGCCAGTCGGTGAATTGTTTTTAAGTTTCTTTTTTATAGCTTTATAATCCAATATGGATACTATATATTGGATATATCTTGGATACTTCACTGCTATTAGTATGAGTCTATGTCTAGACTCGTACGAATAGTTGTACTCAAAAAAATAAACCTTTTAAAATATGCTTTCTATACATCCTGTGTAACATTTAATTTCATTTATTTCACGCGAAATAATACCTTTTGTTACCGGCTATATCGTTTTGAATTGCTATAAAGGAGGTTTCTACTCTGCCCTCGCCAGTCAATGAATTATTTTTAAGTTTCTTTTTGATAGCTTCATAATCCAATATGCTCATTGGATACTAATCGGATATACACATTGGATGCATACACCACTATTAGTATGAGTCTAGACTCGTACAAATAGTGGTACTTAAAAAAAAATAAACCTCGTAAAATATGCTTTATATACATCCTGTGTAACATTTGATTTCATATATTTCACGCGCAATAATACCCTTTGTTTTTTATACACTTCATGCAATTTATATACATTATGGTACAACATTTGAACTACAAGTTGAATGTTTTGCACTTAAACTATTTGAAGGGTGGAAGAACACTTTTCCAAAAACTTTTATTTATTTATTTATTTATTATTTTTTTTACTACAACTATTTTAAACCGGTAGATGTCCCTTAAGGAGCTAGGCGTGCTGGGTTGTGTGCTCAAGCTGCTGCACTTAAAATTAATTTAAAAATGTATATAAGCTTATAAACTTCAGGCTTTACACATGGTTCAATGTAAACTTTAATTGTCACAATTTGTACATTAAAATTATTGCGGAAAAATCACCTCAGCACTCATGTTCTGTATCTACTCCATAATTTGAGTGCTTTGCCCTTAAAATGTTGGAAGGGCAATTGTATACCTTTGCCGGAAACGCTTTTTTTGTTGTTGCCATAATCATCTTAAACCGATAGATGCCCGAACATAGGTGTGGGGTTGTGTCATGGAGTTGTTGTACTTAAAATTCATTTACAAAAAAGAAGAAGAAAAATATGCTTATATACTTCAATGCTAAAAATAGTCCTCAGAGGTTTTGCTTTATAGGGCCACGTTAAAAGGGACCATGATGGCTGTGTAGAAAGTGAGGCAGAGGATAAACCCAGTCCCAGATGGCTTTGAAGGTGCAATAGTGTAACATTATATGAGGTGGAGTATTAGGAGCTTTTTATCGGTATTGAGACAGGGCATCGAAATTTAGGCTTATCATGTAGTTATAAAAAAGAAAAAGAGTATTATATTACTTAAACTTATAAATGAACAATAGTTTACTTATGGCTTATCATTGAGGAGTACTGTTATAGAAAGAGACTATTTGACATATTAGGAAAAATAACACCAAGTGTTTCTTTGTGAATGTAATTATCGTAATTTACAGTTAGCTCACCAGTACAGTTTTTCGTACAGATTTATAAGTAATATTTTACTTTAAAGGGGCACCGTTGAATGACTGAGCATACTGTTTTTCTATTAATCCTTTGAAAGAATATTATAGAGCAGTGGTCGATTTTTTAAGAATCTTCAAATTCCGGTATTACCTACATAAATATTACATTCGTTACGTTTTATAAAGAGATTTACCAGGACTTATTCCCACTATAAAACAGTTAGTTTCTGCAATACCGCTATTAAATTAATACATTTCACTTTGAGAATATTAAAATTAATATCATGTTTGCTAAAGAAAGAAAAAATCATTTTAATGAAAGCGCATTCTTTCATATTAAAGTAAACTACTGCTCAAAGAACAGTCATCGTTAACATTACTCATATGTGAGCGTTAAACACAACCTGTTTATACTCATATGTGAACGCTTTCACAACCTGTCTCTTTGACAGGTTTAGAAAAATAAATCCGGGTATATCTTTGTGAATATAATTACCGCGGTTTGCAACTAGTCAAACAATGTAAAGTTATTCTTACGGATTAAATAATGTTTTTCCTTAAAAGCGCATCGTTACTTGCGTTTATCGTCCTCGTGTTAATCTTTTTTTAAAGACTATTAAAGAACAAAAATCTATTTTCTAAATCAAATTACGGCATTTTCAACAATTGTTACACTTCCTCTGCCAAGTTCACACAATTCACTTTGTGAAGACAAAAATTACTTGTATGTTTATTATGAGTAAAAATAATTTTCATCAAAGTGTATAAGGTTCAAATAAAAATAAATTACAACTCAAAAAATGTAAATCATCTACATTACTCACTCCTATGTCAGTATTAAAACAAACTTCGATTAGACAAATCTGTGAAGAATAACACCAGGCGTTTCTTTGAGTATGTAATTACCTCAATTTACAACTAGCCCACCAGAAAAGTTATTCTTAAAAACTAAATTATAATTTACCTTAAAAATGCACCATTGCATAACTGCGTATACAATCCTCCTACTAATCTTTTTAACGAATATGGAAAGTAGATCGATTTTTGAAGAATCTTCTAATTCCAGCATTGTCTACAATTCAGGATCGTTTTCTGTAAGACATATACAATTCCTTTAAAATTTACATAACAATTCCTAATAAAATTGATACAATTCCTTTTAAGAATTCTAAAAAAAGTATGCTTTTTGCGAGTAAAAATTATGTTCATCAAAATGAAAAAGTTTCAAATTAAAATAAATTATTGCTTTATCATCATTGCTCATAACTCATACAAAAGTGCTCGAACGAACACCTCTTTGACAGATTGGTGTTTCTTTATGAATGTAATTACCTCAATTTACATCTAGCTCACCAGAAAAGTTATTCTTATAGACTAAATAATAATTTATCTTAAATAGGCACCGTTGCATTACTGCTTAAACCGTCATCCTACTAACCTTTTTAATGAAAATTATAGGGTGTAGATCGATTTTTGAAGAATCTTCTAATTCCAGCATTTTCTACAATTCAGTATCGTCGGCTACAAAACATATACTTTCAACCTTGGCCAAAGAATACGTGTTCGCCAAGCTTTCAACAATGTATAAATAAAATTGATACAATTTCGTTTAAGAATACTAAAAAAAAAATTATTTTTGTGAACAGAAATTATTTTTATCAAGATGAAAAATTTTCGAATTAAAGCAAATTATTGCTTTATCACCATTACTCATAACTCATTACTCATACAAGAGAGCTCGAACGAACACCTCTTTTGACAGATTGTGCAAAATAACACCGGGTGTTTCTTTATGAATGTAATTATCTCAATTTACAGCTAGCCCACCAGTAAAGTTATTCTTAAAGACTAAATAATCTTTTACCTTAAAGAGGCACCGTTGCATAACTGCGTATACTGTCCTCCTACTAATCCTTTTAAAGAATATTATAGAGCGGAGGTCGATTTTTGAAGAATTTTCTAATTCCGGCATTGTCTACGATTCAGGAAACAACGCCTTGACCGTGGACTGCTTTGTTGATTCTTTTGTTCTTTTACCTTGAGTAGGCTTAAGACGACATCGAGAGAACGCCAAGACCTTGGCACCCTGTAAATAATGAGCCATCCCTTAAGTTCCAAGATGCGTAATCAGTGAGAGGGTGTGTTGAATTTGTTCACTTTCCCTTTTTTTTCATCCTCGCTTGGAACATTCACCTTTAAATGACTCATCTTCAAATTACGTGAGTTTGGAATCCTTTTGGATGGATTGGATCTGTCGAATCGTCTGCTAAATTAGATAATTGAATCCGATTGTTGCCGTTGAGGCCTAACAGAATTTTTTTTTTCTTCCTGTGGAATGTTCGAATATTTTTTCAGAATGTAAGTGTTTCGTCATAAAATTTATTTTTAAAAGATTGGCATGTGATTTATGACGCTCGAACTTAAAACGAAATCCTCAATTAACGCGAAATCGCTTAAAATGGTGGATTATTTCATGCACTTTTAAGTATTGCAGCAGTGATTCATATAATTTATTACCTCTAATTTGATTTTTAAATGCCTATTTAAAGTGATGCTTAATTATTTGTTTAATGATCTTAAATATGCTTGTTGCAATAGTTTCAATTTTGAAAAGAAATATTTTTTTGCAACTATATCTTAGGTTTCTTATTTTGTGAGTAACGCTTAAAAAATTTTTTTAAATGATTCTAAATATATTTTCTGTAATGGCTTCAAAGGTTTAAAAAAAAAGTTTTTTTTTTTCTATCAACTCTACTTTTGAAGATTATGCTTACTAAAATAGTTGTTGCCAGCAGAGAGCTACAAGAATTTTTTAAAGTACAATTAACGGGGGGGGGGGNGGGGGGGGGGGAAAAACCATAGCAAAAGACTGTTTTCAGATTTTAAAAATGTTTTAATATGAACAAAATTATCTAGTATGGACTTTCATAAATTTGAGCTGTTTAAATGATGTAACATATATATTTCAACCCTAGTACCAATTTTCATATATATCTATATACTAAACAATACTTAACTCAATCTTGATACAATATATAATGTTAAAAAGCTAAAACAAAACGAAAAAACTTTTTAAAATGTCCTCTTTGAAAAATTGAAAAAGATAAAAAAAAATTTTTTTTTTAGTCAATAAACTTAAGATGAAAAACGTATCATAACAAAATGAATACATAACTTTTATAAACAAATCTTAACTCAATTTTGCATACAAAAATTATTTTATCTTTTTAAGTATGTTTGTGATAAAAAACATTGAAAAGATGTTTTACATTATGATTAATTCAAACTCTCATCATTGTTTTAATCAATATTTTTCTGTTTTACTTCGTATTTCACGGAGTTATAATACGTGCTGCCTTTTCGAATGCCCTATTCGAAAAGATATGTGTGTATTCCGGCTATGTAAATCTCATAAGTTTTTTTATATTTCGCCTAAGTCGATTTCTTGAAATAAAATCTTTCTTCTGTTCATTTTCGATGAAATTCTGATTTTGATTTATCTCGATTCTGTTCTTGAGTTTGCAGAACTTATTGCCGTAATTCTACGGAAAAAAATCAATTCAAAAAAATAAATAAATGAATAAATAAGTAAATAAAATAAATAAGTAAAATAAAATAAAATGAAATGAAATATACTATTTAAAACTTAAATAAGAAATATTTAAAAAAAAAAAAAAATTACCAAATTTTTAAAATAAAACCAAAATACACCGCACATCTTTAAAAAAATCCACTTCCACTTAATATTTCATCGCCAAAATTCTCAAAGCAAGGAAATAACAATACTGTGTCAAGTATCAATAGAAAGAGAGAGACAAATGAATCTGGAAAAATATAATCTAATCGTTTGTATTGATGTAAACAAGGACAATAACTGGCCGTGAATAATAAACAGGATACTGAGCAATGCGTGTCTCTTTTGTTTGAATTTACGGATACATAAATGTGAAAGTTACATTGACACAGAATATTAATGAAACCGTTATTTGACTTCCCTGGCATTTCCGGTGATTTTTTTTGAACGACAATTAATGGCAATTTTTTTTCAATGTCTCTGTCGTTGGAGTGGAAAGAATTAATTCATTTCATTTGTCAAATACAGAAAGAAAGAAAAAAAAATATATGAGTAAATAGCACGCAGCATAAACATAAAAACTGGGATTGCTTAACTTTTTTTCGGCAGCGATCCAAAATCAATAGCCAATTCAGCTTTGGCGTTCCGGGATGCATTCCGGGAATTATTTATTAAATAACCATTATTATATAAAATTTAGAATAATGTTTGGTTTAAAAAGGTTAAGCAGAATGGTTATTTATTAAATAAAACTGCTGGGCTAATTTTATATTTTATAACCGTCGTTGAACAGCCGACCCAATTGTATGGGTTTAGGACTACTAATGTTCAACTTCGTAGCTGTGTCATTTTGAACCCAATCCAGAAGACAAGGAAACTCCTAGATCGAGTATTGGGAGAAATTTGCCTTGGGGGAGGACTTTTTTTTAGGGTTATGGGTAAACCCGCATTTGTGTTACATGGAGAGGAAGACCACGAGTACCTCCCACGGTTAGCCTGACGGCAAGGGGGCTCTAACCCATTATTCGTCTACCACTGAGGATGTTTCACGTCAGCACTGTGGTCGGTGCAAGCCGGATGCGGAATTCGTATCGACTGGGATTCGAACCCGGTTCTCCTCATTGGAAGGCGAACGCTCTATCCTCTGAGCTATCGCTGCTCGGCGGGGCTAATTTTAAATTTTTCAACAAATTCAACCGATGAGCAAGTCTCTTCGCCCTCGTTATGACCGAGTTTGACTGCATGCATTATACAATACTCAAGTTATGGCTCAAGCGGTGCGTGAGGAAGTAGTAGTATAGCACTTTCTTGTGGAGCATTAGGATGAGCTTTCTATCTTATCTTACGAAAGAGATGGAAATTATTTTCATACAAAAAATGGTTTGTATTCGAATATAAATTTATTTAAATTAGTGCTAAAATTCAATGCATAAAGAGCTTTGACAGTATAGCGGACATTTTTTGAAAATAGTTAAAATTGAAATCAAAAAACTTCGACCCGTACAAAGCAACAGCTCTACTATAAAATAAAAAAATTTGGTTACTATATAGTTTAAAATTAAGGTGTGAAAGGAAGTTGTAAGAGAATCGAAGGAGGGGTTGAAGAATTCGAATATTCAAATACAGTTGTGCCTAGCATTCAGCTTGATCACCATTAACGTTTATATGTAGTACAAGATAATTTTGAAAGGTTACCAGGCGGGTCATCAAAGATGGTTTGTAATCGTTATTAATAATATACATTAAGTAATTAGTAATACACTACGGAACAACTTTAAATGATAATCGTTATTAGATAATGATTATTACTTAAAATGCAGAAAAATATTGGTTAAAATGGGTTAAGCTGGAGGACTATTTATAAATTAAATTTTCTGAATGAAAGAAGTTATCTCTCGGGAGAGGAATGATTAAGTAAAATAAAATTTTCGCGCATTTTTGCATATCGAACACGAAGAGTGTTCTAAATTTAAAATTTAAACAAAATAAAAATTGATCATCGAAATTTTATTTTCCTAGAAGCTTTTCCAAATCACTTTAAAAGCTTTGATAATCTGTTATCACTACCCTCAATGTATATTTTTAGAAAACAAAATGAATAAAGACTTCGAATATTTTGGAGGGAGGGAGTAAAAAAATAATTTCTTTTCTTTATCCTTCTTTTCTTTTCACTTTATGTTCCGTATATTGTTTGCTTCTATTTTCTTCATAAATACACTATTTTAATTGGGCCAGTTTCCTTCATAAATAAACAAAAATTAAAAAATACTCTACTAGTATTACATTATATAAAATTAGCATGTTAAAATAAAATAAATTTAATGCGATGGGCACTTGGATTTGATTATATCAGCCTGCAACGACTCAAAAAATGATTAAATATAAAAAGTTCAAGATCTTTGTGTCAAATAGTGGAGGGTTTTTACTAAATTTTAGTGAATAAATATTTATATTAATTCAAGGAAGAAAAAAAAAAGAAGTAAGGAAAAATGTAAAGAATAAAATTTTAAACTCCCGTCTGATATTTAGTGC